AAATCCCTCCGTTTGTCTGGCCGTCAAGAGCATCACCAGGGCCAGCATGCCCTTCCCTGTTCCTGACACCATTTGTGACGTGGAGCACTCATGTCTCATGCCTTCACTGCCTTTCTCCCCCGCATCCTCTCGGCCACTCCACTCCTGCTGGGCTTCATCTATTCTTCCTTTCCTACGTCGTGACCTGTGAACGGCCATTTAAGGCTGATATGCTGCTTGTCTGTAGAAATTTCGTGGAAATTCGTGAGTATCAGAACGGGAGAGGAGGCGAGGAACACGGTGTCACAAAACGACCTTCTGAGTCACCCGCACGTAAACCTCAACCGTGTCTACTGCTGTCCAAAGTATGCGCGTGAATGAAAGAAGGATGGCATATGGAGGGAGCACTGCCAAGAAGAGGCAGTGAATGAAATGAAGTGCACTAACACTCCCACCGCGCGATCTGACCGAGGCGTCAGAGAGCAAATGTTTCAGGATTCAGGCGGAGACCCCTCACACCAGGGAGGCTGCTAGGCCACCACCCGCCATCCCACTCGTGGCCCGGGCTGTCACACGGAACGAAATACAGTCTTCAGGTGCCGTGGCGCAGGGGAGCCTTCCTTACAAGTGCATACGGCCTGTGAGGTGGCGGCTTGAAGGGATGGCGAGCCTCCTCGGAAACGTTCTGGGTGGCCGGGCTTGTCAACCTGCTCGACGCTCGCACCTAAGTTTCCCGCGGCTGCACTTAGCAAGTCGTGAGTCGCTTCTCATGAGGGCATCCTTTGTGATAACATCGCGTCGGATGTGAATACGGTATTCCACGCGTTACAAAAAGAAAAATTCAAAAAATGCGTCGCGGGGTATTTAGTACGCTCTGTCTCCTTCACAGGTAGGGGAAGATGAAGAAGGGATGAAAGTTAAAAAAACATGAGTTGTAACTTCTTTTTATATCACAGTATCAAACATGTCGTGGCCTCAACCCTGGGGGCCGTTGGTTGTCCATCCTGGAAACAATTGCACGTAGGCGCACCTCCACTGATATGTCAAACCCAGACCCTATGCCGCCTACGCCTTTCCCGTTAAGCAGCGGGCGCACGTGGCATGCCGCTGCTGTGGCTGCGGCTGCTGCTGCCTCTGCCGCTGCTGCTGCTGACCCGCTTCTATCAGCCAGGGAAGGGAAGGCTGGCGAGGATTCGGGAAGTGGGTTGGTAGTCCATCACATTGTTCTGAGTGAATTCGACATCGTAACTGGCTCGACTGTCCGGTACCAGTATCCTCGACCTGTGCCAGGCGAGTCGCCAGACAGCCTGGCGGAGAAGATGCTGCCGGAGGGAGCACACAGCCACGCAGAGAATGAAACCTGGTTTTTTTTCAACCGAGGGTCTTTGACGTGGGACGAGCAGGAGGCGGCAGAGGAGGGGGGGCACACGACGGACGACAGGGCCGGAGAAGAAAACGACCGTGTGGACGGGGAAAGCATGAACATTGTTTCGCCAGCTCCGC